ACTTTCGTTTGGTAAGGAAAAAAATATACTTTAGGGGGGGTAAAATTTTGTTTCTGCCCTTATCATGCGAACGCGACTTCAAAGCTTAAAAAGACATAAGAACGAAAAGTGAAGCTTCTCAAGACAAAAATAATGACATATCAATTTTAAAAATCGGCCGTCAAATAACCAAGTTACAACGAAAAAACCATTTCGGCTGTATTTCGGAGGGTTAAAAAAAAAAAAAAAAAATTTTTCCAGAACCCTCTCAACATAATCTTTAAATTTAGGGGCGGACATTAGCAACTTTTTTTTTTTGTATGGGGACCGACCCAGTCTAATGTATATACATACATAAATAATACTCGTATATCAAAAAGTAAATAATGCGACTAATTACAGTAAAAACAAAAAAGTTCTTATCTTACAAAAATAAAAATAAAAACCATGTGTAAACAATAACACAGATAAATAAACAAAACCACAGAAATGAAGACAATTACGCTGGTTGTCACTGGTGTTATTTCGTTTTTGCGCTGCGATAAAAATTCAACGAAATTTAAGTACCACTCACCGCTTCAGTGGGCCACCAACTCCAGACCAATTGGAATGTTTAAGGGACAGTCAACACTTGACTTGTGTTCGTCTTTTAAGTTATTTTTTTTGTTCCACTCTTTCGTCAAAGTTTGTTTTGTGGCGTACCTATGTATGTGATATGTATGTACATATGTACATTAGATTGCATCACTCCCCACAAAAAAAAAAATCAGGTACATACTGTTTTTTCAACGAAATTATAAAACATATTTTAATTAACGACCTGCGCCAAAATATTAAGATTTAGGTGAGCTGGACCTAAAAAAAAAATAAAAATTTAAATAACAGCCAAAACTTTACCGTTTTATATTTATGAGGTATCATTAGAAAGGTATTTTCTCACTTTTTTTATTTCTTTGCAAATAGACTAATTCAAAATATCAATACATCCTAATTCAATTGTAATGACGCTCGTTCATCTTAGCTTTCTCTTTCATACTTTGAATGAGTTTATTTGCAAAGAAATGAAAAGGGTGAGAAAATACCTTTCCAATGATACATCGCAAGTCTAAATCGGTATATTTCTGGCCCAGTTATTTCAGTTTTTCTTAAAACAATCGTAAAAAACAGCATCAAAGACCTCATTATTAAATATTTCTATGCAAGGTTTTTAAGCTTAAACTGTTTTTTCATCTGAGGTGAGTTTTTGCAAAGAATACTCGGCGAAACTATTTTTATTCATAAAAAACTAAATTCTTTGATGTATTTTCAAATCGGTACAGCTCTCGTAAATCTTAATATTTTTACAAAATACTTTGGTGGACGTATTGGAAAAACCGCAACTTCTTTTCGTGATGCAGTCTAATGTAAGTATGTATTTTGAATTTGTTTTGTAGCCCTTGAATGCATATTTTGGGCTTGAATGCACTTTGTATATGCGTATGTATGTATGCAAGTTCATGTTTTTACTAAGTACAAATTGTACTAAGTATGTATGGATGAATACCAGTTTCGAGTGTGTAGGTATTGGAAGTTGACGGTGCAGGCTATTGGACTGGATTGAATTAACGCGCCGCATGTCATGGCGAGCACATCCGTGGAATGCGTGGGTAAACTGCTTTACGAGAAGAGATGCAGTTTCATTTCGTCATACATCTTTATGTATGTATGTATGTTTGTATAAATGTAAATGCATTCACATATTCTTATTTACACATACTTTCGTGTAAACTTGAAAGAAAGAATTTAAATTTCTAAAATAATGGTCAAATAAATGAACTACAAATGTATAGCAAATTATATATGTACATATGCCTTCAAATATTTAAAAGAAAACTCTGATGTGTACAAAAGTTGTATTGAGCACAGCATAGAAAGAATACAATGGAAAAAGACTGCGCTTAAACAAAAGTACAGCTAATAAAGTTATAGACTCGGTTGTTCCAAACCGGTTTCCACCGTTTTTTTTGGACATCTATAGGCGGTTTTTTGAAATCTTGATTTTTCGCATATTGAATAAACTGGATTTTTTTTTTTAATTTTATACAAATCTTGACCTCTGAATAAAGTTAGATATCTCTGGGCAGATAGATGCAAATATATGGACTCATACCTGAGCAGATTAGACGCACATCTTCCAAATGAGTGTCCGGCATGCGGAGTGACACCCCACGACTCGAAACATCTCTTCGTATGCCCGGAAAACCCCACCCCACACAACTGAAGCCTCTGTTCTTGTAGACAGACCTTATAGAGGCTGCACGTTTCTTGGGTCTTGCGTTAGTTGAGCTTGACGACAGTGACTGAGATAATAGCCGATCTATGCGGGGTTGTTATAGCCGCTACAACAACAACAACAACAACCTTCTGTCAGCTAAAGATTCGAGACCAAGGAGTTTGTACGATTAGTAGGATCGAATTTACCTTATCTTCCGTGGTAACATAGGCCTTGAAAGACTTCTTTGCATTTGGTATCGCCTTCTTGAACGTGTTTACACCACGACGGTATGTATCCCAGTCTCCCTTATTCCACTAAATAGCTTGTCGCTTGGGAGTTATGCTCTCAGGCAAATTGTCGTATGTATATGATTACCTAAGTGATAAGATTTCGTATACTAAATTCCTTGTAGTGTTTGTAAGGTGGGCTGAAGGTATTTTAGGCAGCAACCTAATCCTGTATGTCTGGCATGAAACCTATTAATTGTTGTTCGCAGGAGCGCCAACTAGCAGTAAGTTGCTCCTCAATTACTTTCGGGTTTTAAATCAGAAAATCAAAAATCTGCATAGGCTACAGTTAGGTAAAACTTCTGCAGCGAATGGGACCGTTTTAAGAGATTTCCTGGCCGTAAGGCCTATGGTCAGCAAACCTATCGTATCTTGGATCTTCTATTGCACACGTCCCAAAACGCTATCCGCCACTCGGTCGCTCCCGAACTTCATTTGGAGGAG